CGTCGGGCGGCCACCCGGGCGCCACCGGAGCTGCGGCCCCCCGCCGAATGTCCGTGCCGTCGCCGCCCGACGGCAGGGTCTCCGGCGGCGCGCCGCGTCTCGGGGGCGTGCACTCCAACAACGAGGCGGTGCGGCAGAAGCTGCGGCAGCTCGACCCGGCGCAGGTGAAGCGGATGCTGCTGCAGCACGTCCGCTCGTGCCAAAACAAGCAGTGCCACACTTGCCACAAGCTACGCGAGCGGATCAAGGCGAGCCGCGCCAACAACACGGGCGGAGGCGGCAGCAGCCACGACCCGCTGCAGCGGCCGTTTGGAGGCGGCGGCATCCCACCGCTGCAGCGCCCCGGCTCGATCGGCGGCATGACCGCCGGGGGGATGGAGGGGTCGAGCAACATCCTCATGGGTGGCGGCTTCGGCGGCGGTGGCGGCTTCGGCGGGTTTCCCGGCCTGGACGGGGGCCCGGGCCTGCTCGGCGCGGGCACGGGCGTCGGCTTTGGGCTGCAGGGCTCGAGCCCGTGGGTGCCGAGCGCGCAGAGCGGGCTGCAGCGCAAGACCAAGGTGAAGCAGCGCGGCCGCGAGAACATCCAGCCCGGCCTCGCGTGGTCCTCGCGGCAGGGCGACCAGCGGACGGCACCCCGTGGAGCCTCGGCATGCGCCGCGCCACGCCAGGCCCGCACCCCGCCCCGTCTCCACGCCATAGGCGCTCGCCGAGGGCACGCGGTTCTCGCGAATCAGGCTCAAGCTCAAAGGCGTTGCGCCCACGCTCGCCCCGTCGCGGTCGCGCGACCGAAAGAAAAAGGCGCGCGCCGACGACGATGACGGCGGCCGCGGCGAGAAGGCGGACATCAAGCGGCTCCGGCGGCAGATCTCGCAAAAGTCGACGCAGGACGAGGAGGAGGAGATGGCGCAGGCCGGGATGGACCAGTACCGCGTGGCGCCCGGCCGGCCCGCCTCCCTCGAGCTCAACAAGTTCGAGGTCGGCTCGTGGGTCGAGCACCGAGAGGACGCGAGCACGTGGAGGCTCGCGATAGTGCGCTCGCAGCAGCAAGCGGGCGGGCAGCTGCAGTACACCATCCAGCTGGAGCCGGTGGAGCAGAACCGGCACAAGCAGACGGGCGTGCCGCATGCCGATTTGCGCATGGCGTGCTCGCACCCAGAGTGCAAGAAGCACGCCCTGCACCTCGCCGCGCTGCCGCTGTTTTGCGACCGCTGTCGCAAGGCGCTCATGTCGACGCCGCAGCAGCGCGTCTACTTCCAGGAGAAGGAGGCGGTCGAGTCGGGGCAGTCGCTCCGCCTCTGCAGCACTTGCGTCGGCTCGCTGCGCGCGGAGCTCAAGTCCAAGGGCCAGGCCGGCCTCGACGCCGAGGTGCAAAAGTTCACGCGCGACCTTCCGCAGGGCGCCGACCGGCAGTCGCTCGTGCTCGAGACTCTCGAGGAGACGGCGCTGCCGCAGCGCGCCGAGAACAGCGACGCGCCCATCCTGTCGACCGACATCGACACGCGGTGGGCGCAGTGCGCTGGGTGCTTCAAGTGGTGGCATTGGGTGTGCGCCATGTACGTCGAGACGCAGTACAAGAACGGGCGGCCTTTCTACTGCCGCGGGTGCGCGCCCAAGCACGAGCGGCTGTCGGACGAGCTGCAGTCGCTGCTCGAGAACAACGACGCGACGAAGCTGACGCAGATCCCGATGGGCGAGTTCATCGAGGAGCAGGCGCGTCACCCCCCCACCCCCCCACCCCCCCACCCCACCCTCGGCCATCCCGCCCGGCATGCCCAGAGCCCCCGCCCGCCTCCCCACCGCTGCGCCCGCGCAGGTGCGTAGCGACCTCGAGGAGGCGAAGATCGACTGCACGCCGATCACCATCCGGATCGTCTCGTCGCTGCTCATGAACTCGTACACGCCCGAGCGGCTGGTCGAGCACCAGCAGGCGCTGGGCGAGAGCTACCCGCGCGAGTTTCCGTACAAGTCCAAGGCGCTGCTCGCGTTCCAGAAGCGGGACGGGCTCGACGTCTGCCTGTTCGCGCTGTACGTGCAGGAGTACGGCTCCGACTGCCCGGAGCCGAACAAGAACCGCGTCTACATCTCGTACCTCGACTCGGTCCGCTACTTTGAGTCGGAGCCGATGGGCCACCGCTCGACGGTCTACCACTCGATCCTGGTCGCCTATCTGCAGTGGACGCGTATGCTCGGCTTCAAGTACGTCCACATCTGGGTGCAACTCGCCTTGCCCCTCCCCCCCGCCGCCGCCGCATCCCCCCCCCCCGCCGCCGCATCCCCCCGCGCCGCGCCCACATCCCTCGCCGCACCCGGCCGCGCGCAGGTTGAGCCGCCGAAGAGCGGCGACGAGTACATCTTCTTTGCGCGCTCGGACCAGCAGCGCAAGCCGATGAAGCGCGAGAAGCTGCGCGAGTGGTACAAGGGGATGCTCGACAAGGCAAAGGCCAAGAATGTGGTCGAGCACTACGGCACGCGCCCCCGCCCCCCGCCCACCGTCCCGGCGCGCCCGCTCCACCGGAGGGCTCCCCGCACCTGCAGGGACGATGCACGACATGTTCAACGGCCTCAAGTCGCTCGCCGAGATCCCGCTCTTCCACGGCGACCAGTGGGAGATCACGGTGCCGTCGCTGCTCGGCCTCGACGACGAGGAGTACGTCTCGGCGCCGAAGAGCAACAAGCTCGTGCGGATGGACTCCAAGGACGTCGTGCAAAAGGCGCCGCCGCCGCACGCGCCGCCGCACGCCCCCGCACCCCCCCCCACCCCACCCCACCCCCCCAACCCCCTTGCAGGCGCAGCAGGAGATGCAGCACCTGAAGCGCCACTTCCTCGTCGCGGTGCTTCGCGACCCCGACTTGTCGCCGATGAAGGACAACGACCCGGTCATCTCCACCGACCTGACCGACTCGCGCCAGACCTTCCTCGGCCAGTGCCAGATGTGCCACTGGCAGTTCAACACGCTGCGGCACGCGCAGTACTCGACGCGGATGATCCTCAACCACATCCACAACAAGCCCTCGTACTGCGTCGAGGACTGCCAGCGCGGCCGCGTCGAGGACGGCTCCTTCATGGTCGGGTGCGACGTGTGCGACAACTGGTACCACGGGGACTGCGTCGGCATCTCGAAGGACGAGGCAAACACGATGGACTCGTACCTTTGCGCGCGCTGCCGGGCGCTCGACGAGTCGGGTGGGCTCGACGAGGGCGGCGGCGGCAGCTGAGCCCCGGGCGCACAAGGAGCCGCCGCCGCGCGGCGCACGCAGGCTCCTGGCTCAAGGTTGGGATGGACTCAGTCAGTCCCTTATTCCGCCCCTCGGACGATAACAGCTCGCGCGTGTAACGTGAGGCGCTGAGGAGCAGTTCTTTTGGCACTCGACCATGTCGTGTTTGTGGGATCCCAGTTATTTTCATACTCGTTTTTTCGGACGAAGAAGACAGTCATTTTTTGTTATCTAAAAATCTCAATTTACACCGCGCACCGGCGACCTGTTTTCCAAACCCATCTCTCCGATAGTAGCTGGTCTCCGTTTTATTTACACTGGGCTCTGGGGCGCGGGGCGCGCGGGGGGGGGGGGGCGAGTCGGGAGAGGTGTGTTTTGTAGACTGTAGACTGACTACTGTCTACTGACTACTGTACAGAACAGAAGGGAAGCCAGAACTAACATCACCTTCTACTCAACAACAAGTACAAGTACCGCTGTCTATGCACTATGGCTGCGCCGCTTCGTCGCTCGCAGAGCCCTCTCGGCCGCTCGTCGGTTCCTGGCTCAACAAGTCGCGCATTCCCCCGATGGCCTCCCGCCGCATCGTCTCGGATCGGACCCGGAGGCGATCCTGCTTGGCCGCCCTGATGTTGGCGAGCCGCTGTTCGGCAGACGAGCCGTCTCGCACCATCGGAGGTGGAGGTGGCGCCTCACGGTAATGCTGCGTCATAGGGGTCGACGAGCTCATACGCAACGAGGCGCGGACAGCCATCGCATGCCGGCGAAGTTCCGCGTTTGGTGCTGCCGGGGCAGCACGATGGGCGAGAGGGTTGGCTTCGGTGTCGCGAGGCGAGGCGTCAATGCTGCCCGATACGCCCTCCGCTCCTCCTGGACCCTCGTGCAGGGGGCCGGCTTGCAGCGGGGGACGGGGAGCTTCGCGGACGTGCCGGACGGCGCTCAGCTTCATCAGCGCCCTTTGGAACCTCTCTTCCGACTCTCTCTCCAGCTTAGTCACGGTCGCGCGCAGCATGTCATTTTCAGCCTTCAGGGAGTCAACCTCTTGCGACTTTTCGTTGAGCAGCTGAGCTTGCGACGCGGCTCGCTCGGCTATGCGTTGGTCGACCCACTTGACCGAACGCTCAATCTTTTCCGACTCGTCGGGCAGCTGCCACGTCAGATCAGGCCCTCGGGGCGAGAATCTTCCTGCCTTGTGCGCACCCTTCTGGTCGGCGTCACTCACCTTCACTCTCGCTGTGCGGCGTCGCCAGCACCATAGGCACGCCAACGCGAGCAGCAAGCTCACGACGCTTACGATAGGCACTGCGATTTTGACAGCCTCTTCCGTCGCGTCAGCATACATCTCGCCGCTTACTAGCGGCTGCAGCGGGCTGGGACTCGGGGGGGCGACCGGCGGGGGCGAGAGAGGCAAGGGCGGCGGTGGTGGGTAGAAGACCACGGGCTGACCAACTGACACCACTGCACTTGCTGAAATGCGCGAAGCGATCGCCTCGTGCAGGACTGTGCTTGAAGAAAGCGCGATTGCAATCGCCTCGTCACTGCTCTCATAACGAGGCGTGACGTGGACGTGCTCGAAGGTGGCTCTGATGAGGCTTGCCCCAAACGCTGTTTGCACCGCGTCCTCGACTAGCTGGCCAGCAATCTCTGCGGTGGTGGTCAGCGGCTGCTCCTCACTGCCTGTTCCGCTGAAGGTGTACACCCGCTCGACACCGACAGTGACGTTCGACTCGGCCAGCCTCCGGCGAAGCCGTTGTAGGCGACGATTGCGCCGAGAGGGATCACCGGCGAGCAAGGAAGCGTTGCACGACGTGAAGTTTCCTTGGCATGCCGACGCCTCGACCGTCGTGAGGAGGTCCGCCACCTGGTCTGCCCCGCCGAGAGCCGCGCCCATGGTCAGATCGAGCTCGAGCAGCTCGGTCACGACGACGGCGTCCGGTTCGAGCCCCGTGGTCTCGGAGAGCGAGCTCTGTGTGGCCCGCACAAGCGAGCCGATGCTGGTGTTTGCAACTTGCGTGTCCAGCTGAAAGGCAACCTCGACCGAGGCGAGGTAGCCAAGCGGTGACAGCGGTGGGGGCGGCGGGGACGGAGGGCGGGAGGGTGGCGGACGCAGAGGAGTTGGCGGCGGTGCTGAAGGGGCGGGACTTGTGGGCGGCTCGGGTGGCTCGGGCGGCGGCTCCGGAGATGAAAAAGGTGGGGAGGGCGGAGAAGCTGGCGGTGAGGGCGCCGGCGGTGGAGCGGGCGGCGGCGGGTCGGGCGACGGCGGCGGGGCAAGTGGTGGGGCCGGCGATGGCGGTGGGGCCAGGGGCGGCCCTGGCGGGAAGGGCGGGTGGCGAGGCAGCGGAGGACTCGCCGGAGGATACCATGGCGCTGGAGGGGCTCGAGGTAGAGGAGGAGGAGCGCCGGGTGGCTCTTGTGGGGGTGACGGTGGCGATGCCGGGGACGGCTCACAGACCATGCAACCGCCCCAGACGTCGCTCACGCCTCCCGACCCATCACTTTCGGCGGTTGTTCGACACCAGCCGCTCTCAAGCGTCCCGTCGACACCAAGCGTGCATTCTGTGTGTGTCCTGCGAGTGCAGCCGACGCACCAGGACCAAAACGGCCCCGTCGAACAGCTGTAGTTGAGGCTCGGGGAATCGCTACAATAGGAGACAAAAAGAAGGGTCGAGCACGGAGTGCTGGATACTGCACGTCGCGCCGCCTGTGCACGAGATGGCGGGCGTTGCTCGTCCTCTGCACGGACCGAAAGCACAAAACATGGAAGGAAGGTGAGAGCCGGCGTTTGACACCCGAACGCCCGAAAGGTCGAGCCGGGCGCTGCCGCCAGACGCAACCACGTGAGCACCACCGAACATGAGGCGCATCGAGCGAAACCTCCAGTTCTGCCCAAACGCGAGGTTGTCCACGCCCGCAATCTGAATGTTCGGCCGGTTTACCACCGCCACCTCTGCGCGCATATCAAGCACGTGGCCATTGTGAAGTTCGGTCACGGCGAGGTGCGTGTAGCTGAGGGGTACCGTCACCGCCACCCTCGTGAGCCATTCGCCGCCCTCTGATAGCGGCTTTTGGATGTATCGCGTGGATAGTACCGTGCGTCGCTCCGTCTCGCCGGACGAGCGAGTGGTGGTGGCAATCAGAATATCGTCCCCTTCAATCCAGCCCACGCGGCCCTGCACGTCCAGCTCCACCGCGCCGCCTGACACCGTCGCGTCTAGCCGCGACCAAGTCATCATCGGTCGTGTCCCATGCAACGAGAGCTCTCCATTCACGTCGAGGTGCTTCCCCCTCCGGCCTCCACAATTCCAGCTCTCCGTCATTTCATCGCCGGACAGCAGAAAGCTCAGCGTCCCTTGGAAAGGCGCGCCTGGTTCGCCCGCCAGAAGCCGCCCTCCCTCCCTGATTCGGATGCACGCCGCCTTGAGGTTCACGGAGGCGTCCAGTCGGTTCTCGACGATGAGCGTGCCCCAGACGACGATCGAGTAGAACTGCAGGTCAAGATCAAAGTCGATTATGATTGTCGTGCACCGCTTGATTGTCACGTTGCCTCGAAAGCCCGGGATGAGGCCGCCATCAAAGGCGGTGAAGCTCGACCAGTACGCACGGTAGCAGCCGCCATTCTGTCTGCATTGCGTGGAACAGCCAACCGTGTATGGTTGACGACCAAAGACCACCGGAGGACGCATCGGCCAGTCCGGTGGATAGCCTGGCGGTGCTGGCGGCTCAGGTGGCGGAGGCGGTGCGCCTGGCGGTGGCGCGGGTGGCAGGGCAACGGAGACGGAGGCGTCTTCGACGGTGACGGCGGATCCTCGAACCTTTAGCTCGCGTGCCATGGCGTTCTCGATGGTTTGCCTGGTTGTGCGGCTTTGCGACTCAAAGCCGTTGTCGTCGTTGCCGAGGGTGGCCACGCGAACGACCGCTGCCACGCTCTCCACGGCGCTGTCTCCGGCCGACGTGGCGTTCAATGCCGCAGCAACCTTCTCAGCCAAGGTCTCCAGTGCCAAGTCCGCTTTGATGCCAAGGCTCAAGGGAGGCAGGCTAAGCGCACTGTCGAGCGGGGCCGTCACGAGCAGCTCCACAGTGCTCGACGAGAGGCGGCGGCGGCGATCAGGGGCGACTTCTACCGTGCACTCGCTTCCGTGGCCGCCGCAGCCAAGTTCGACGAGCGCTGCTGCTCGCGCTAGGGAAGCGTTGCCCGCAGCGAGGTCAATCACGAGTCTGCCAATGTAGAGCAGGGATATCGGCGGGCTCACTTGCTCGATCGCTTGGGCTCTCTCGCTTTCGCTCAAGGCGGCGAGCGTAGCTTTTTGCGCAGAGTCTGCAAATGCGCTTGGCCTCCCTATACATTCGCCGCGGCAGCGCCCTCTGGCCTTGTTCAGATCTGATCGAACGACGGCGATTCTCGCCCCCGCGACAAAGCCTCTCGGCAGATATGGCGGCGGCGGAGACGGCGGCATGGAGGGTGGCGGCGGCGGCGGAGACGGCGGCGAAGGAGGTGGTGGACTCGGAGGGGGCGCATGAATGGCGCGGAACTGGCCGTATTGCCCGGCGCAGTTGTCGAAAGGTTCGCTGACCAGACACTCGGCAGTTCCCTCGATCCGCATCAATGCCGTCTGCTTCTTCTCGTGGTAACTGAGCGAAAGCTCCCCAAGCCTGCGCGAGCCTGCGAGCCAGTGCGTCGTGTACGTCTGGCGCTCAACGACCGCTAGCTGCCCGCTCCAGCGGTAGCCTCCACTCTCCCATGATGTGTTGAACCGTTTCGGCAGAGCGCCTTCCGGGTGCTTGGGGCCGCCTCTACTTGGAGGGGATTGGTACCCGCCAAATTGATTTGTCTCGAGCTCGATGAAGTCACTCTCACCGAGCGCGTGGCCAACCTCCACCCCCAACGTGGCGTCGATGCGGAAGACCTTCCGGCCGAAGAAGGGCTGTCGCTTTCCCGGGATGGCCTCGACCTGGTAGCGCCGGCCCGTCTCGAGAAGGATTTGGAACTCGCTTCCCTCAAAATGCGGCGTGTTTGCCAGGTTCATGCCGGGGATGACATGCGATGGAAGATTCTCGTACTGCACAAGGCCGGTGGCGCAGAGGTCCGGCCGTGCCTCGCAGCTGATCCACGGGGTGGAAGCGGTCGTCAGGAGATTGTGCGATCCGTATCCGACATCGACGGTCGGGTCGGAGGCGTTGCTCGTGAACCACTCGAGCTGGATCCCGCCCTCCGAATTGCGCACGAGCCGCGCGTGTGCGGTGTGGGTGAGCACCACCCCGCTGTCGCCGCACTGACCGCACTCGGTACAGACTGAGTCGGCCCTGAGGCCGTCCATCGTGTCCCAGTCACACCATTCAAAGTTCTCTGAGGCGTGCCCGTCTGCGTAGGTGGGGCATGCGCCGTACCCAGCGTTGAATGTAGCGGGATCCCCCAAGCACGGAGTAGGCCGAAAGTCAAACTGAGCCACAAAGGGGTCAATGTAGACAAAGGTGAAGAGGAGCGTGTCGCTGGCCTCCCACGAGGCAGTGGCCGACATCCATCGAGTTTCGCCAATCATCCGTGCCGACGGTGTCGCCGCCGAGAGATCCAGCTCAAGCAGGAATGCGTGCTCTCCGCTGCCGAGACCCGAGGGGCGCCACTTGTTGCGCAAATAGGCCTTGTCGGTGGCGGGCACGCAGTATCCGCCGTCGTCGGCGTGCAAGGCGCTGACCCGCATTTTGTCGCGGGCCACCAAGACGTCAATCCCTGCCGATTGTCCCATGAATCCGACCTGCACAAACTTTAGCGGAGGGGGGCACACTGTCCCGCCGTACCTGCTATCCTGGTAGCACTCTGGGAAAGCTCGCTTGTCCGCGACGAGATTGTTGTGCAATACGGACGAGCCTGGCTGCTCACCGGTGAAGCTGCCGTCCTCGTCAACGAAGAGAGCCTCGTTGGCCCACCGCCACCGGACTCGGTAGTCGTCCGACTCGTACCAAGTGGTGCCGACAAAGCGTGTCTCCATTGCGCCGGCATTTCTGAAGTCGTATCCCGCGCCAGCAGGCGGGAACGCCTTTGCGAACCCAGCAACCGCAATGGTGCCTCGCCTGTCGTAGTTGATGAATGTGGCGTTTCGGACCGTGAGGCCGTACCACGCTGGCGTCTCGATACCCAACCGAACCGGATACCCGTGCCCGCTGATGTCACGGGCGTTGATGATGCTTCCGCCCCGGATAATGTAGTCCTTGGAGAGCTCCTCGTAGATCGCGACAGTCCACTCGCCGCGGTAAATCAGGCGAGAGGCAGGCTTCACGCGGACAGCGCCGTCGCAGGCGGGGCACTCCAGGAGGTGGGCGGCAATGAGGGGTCGCACGAGGTTGTTGACGCCCCATGGCCCACGCAGCTTAGCGCCCAGCCGCGCCCAGCCTCGCTGGTGTCGAGCAGCGACACGTTGAAGAAGCCAGACGCGACATTCTCGCTAGCCTCGAGGCGGCATCCAAACGCAGACTCGTTCGAGTACGCGAGCGCAACCTCAGACCCTGCCGGCCGGGAGGCGCATCCGACGACCGCTCGTGTTGAGGACGACGTCAAGCTCGCGCGAAATGCGGGCGGTCCCACCGCGCCGCCGTTGATGCCGCGGCCGCCGAGGCGGAGGAGGCCGCCCGGCAGAATGCTGGGCGTGAAGATATCTGTAAGCCGCGGCGCGCCTCCTAGGTCGAACTGAACAAAGCAGCCGTGGTTGGCGCCACCAACGTGCCAGCAGTCGGCGTGGCGGCCGCCCTTTACCAGCCATAGCGGCACGAGGTGCAGGTTCTGACCTGGCGCGTAAGCCTCGTCCGGTTCAGGCAGGCCATCTGGCAGCAACGTGCAGTGCAGGCGGCGGTTGCTGGAGGTGAAGCCCTCGAGCTCGCACCGGCCGGTGCCACCGACGCCCAGCAGAATAGTCGGCGGGTTGAATGGATCGCCCAGGTTTGCCCCGGAAATGTAGAGCGAGGCGCCGCCGCCCGGCGAGAGGTGGGTCAGCTCACGCTCTGAGGGGCCAGTGACCCGGTTGACGACGGCAGCGTGAGGTCCGGAGAGGAAGAGGAGGAGGAGCAGGCCTGGCGTGGCCTGTGCTGCCTGGCGCATGGCTGTGCACGCACGTCCAGCGGCGCGCGGTTTGTCTTGTCGCTGTTACATTTCGCTGGACGCGTCATTCGATCTCGGGTTTCAGGTCACAAAAGCGACTACATGTACCTCGTACTTCCGTTCGTCCGACTCATCCCGCCACCCTCGCGCCTCGGCATACAAGGGGCAAGGCCATGGCCCATGGGACCCCAAATGCTACCAACATTCAACATAATTACTCATAGAGGTTAGAGCCGGGTCGCGACATACCATTTTTAACATCTTGAGCTCGTATGTATCGTATGGATGTTTGTTCGATCGACGTTTAAGGCCAACACGCACTCGCAACCCTCTCGCGCCCCTCCACGCTCACAGTCACAGCCACACTCAGTCCCTTTTGGACTCTCGCTGCTCCCCGGCCGGGTCGAGCGCGCCGGCCAGCTCGACCGAGTACGAGGCGAAGAAGGAGGCGACGCAGAGCACGAGGCAGTACTGCTGCAGCCCGCCTGCGTCCGCCTCGGAGAGCGAGAGGACGCGCCGCGCGGGCGAAGCCGGGTGGAGCAGGAAGGCGGCGGGCAGCGGGAAGACGCTCGTGACGGCGCATGCGCCCTTGAAGAGCGCGCTTCGCCAGCCGACCCGGTACGAGAGCGGCGAGGCTGGCGGGGCCGTCACGCACAGCCGCATCCAGAGGGCCATGTGCGCGATCGCCGCTGCGAAGAAGACGGCGGCGGCGCTCTGGTGCAGCACCGAGTCGGCCCCGAGTCGCGCCTCCCCGCGCATCACCGCGGGCACGTCGCGCTGCAGCGGCACCGCGCCGACGACCGCGAGTCCGGCAAAGGCGGCGGCGCTGGTCGCCACGAGGCCGGGGTGCGCGGCGCCGGTGACGCGGCGGAGGTCTCGGAAAAACGCCGGCGCAACGCAGCCAAAGAGGAGCGACACGGCGGGGAACGCGACCTGCCCGAGGGTTCTGCCCGGGCCGTCGTACATCAGCAGCGAGATTGGAGGCGTCACGACGCGGCCACCGCCCACAGAGACCTATCAGACATATCGTGGATCGCTGGCATCTCGAGCTTCCCGGGAGCACGGGCTCTTGGCCGAACCGGCGGAGAGAGTGCGTAGGCGGCAGCGATGGCGGTGGAGGCGACAAGGAGGATGCACGGCGGCAAGCAGGCGATCGGCCGCATCGCAGTCAGTTCTTCGGTTCTTGTTCGTGCCAGTCCGAGCCAGTCAGCTGTGGAGGGCTTGTTGTGTCCGGCATACTCTGGGTTCGCCCCTTGGTACCTAGGTACTCGAGTACCCCTTGGCTCGTTGCCTGCGGAGGGTGTCCCGGCCTCTCTATCTTCTCTCTCTCTCTATGTCTTCTCTCTCTCTCTGTCTTCTCTCTCTCTCTCTCTCTCTCTCTCTCTCTCTCCCTCTCTCTCTCTTCTCTCTCTCTCTCTCTCTCTCTCTCTCTCTCTCTCTCTCTCTCTCTCTCTCTCTCTCTCTCTCTCTCTCTCTCCTGCAGGTGAAAAATCGCACGACCTCCCACCTTACCCTTGCCTCGAATCGCAAAACGATCGTTCCGGAAGAGAGAGAGTGAGCCGCGGGGTTGCTCGGAGTACTTTTCCCTCGCTCGAAGAGCACTTGGCGACCTAAGAGAGAGATTTTGAGCAATACCAAACAACTCTAACACTCACACGTCATTTGGGGCCTGGAGCCCTGGCATTTAAAGGTTGTTGGCCCTGTTCACGCGCGCGCGAGACGTGCAGACAGGGTTGCCAGGTGAGAGCGAATGGCGCGGTTCACGCCTCGCACAACAGAGAGAGAGAGATGCGCTCTGCATGGTGGGACATAAAAGAGAGCGAGTACTTGGGCGAGTAGGCCGTGCGGTCGACGCTGCCGCGCGCGACTTTGCGCGCGAGGCGGCGCAGCTTGAGAACGGCGGTGGGCGAGAAGCCGCCGAACGTTGAGACCTATACTCTTGGAGCACTTGGAGTGCAGTCGGTAACCTCACATACTCTAGTTTTTTGGCGTTCCGGTGCCTACAAAAAATATCCGAGCTCATATGGAGCTGACCACAAGGGTTTGCGACGATCACTGACTTACAGCGGACATAGTGGGCCACGGACATAATGACCTTAAATACATAATAAGAGAGAACTGTTGTCATAATAAGTAGTTTTGTTGTAGTTTTGTCAAATCGGTTTTTTGTTTTTTGTCTCTGTCTCTTGGTTTTTAGCAATACCAAACAACTCTAACACTCACACGTAATTTGGGGCCTGGAGCCCTGTTCACGCGCGCGCGAGACGTGCAGACAGGGTTGCCAGGTGAGAGCGAATGGCGCGGTTCACGCCTCGCACAACAGAGAGAGAGATGCGCTCTGCATGGTGGGACATATTTGTTTGTCTTGGTTTTCAAAAATGTCTTCACACCAATCTTCTCACACTCTCTCTCAGCTATCTCACACAAACAAAGTCGGTAACGCTCGGCCTATGACATCGTCCCTCAGCGGCCCACGAATTTTAGAATTTTCGTGGTGCGCCTTGGCATCGCCATCAGCTCGGCGACAGGTGAGGTTGATCAGAGAGGTCAAATTTCGACCTCAACAATGCAGCCGCACACCTCTCCTCGCCGACTGCAGCGTGTCGCCTCTGCAACGGCAACGGGCGCGGCGCCCGAATCCTTCGCCGCTCAGGCATGCGCTGCTACGCTCAACGCTGTTTTCCGCGAGCACCGCCCTCAGCCCTCACGCCCTCTCCCGATCCCGATGCTGCACAGGTGCAGGTGCTGCCCACATACCAGGCCAGCGGGCTGCGAGGCATCTGCCTGCAGCACCTCCGGCTGGCCGCGTTTGCCGCTCGACGACAGCACTCTCCGCCTCCGCCGCTCGCGACGGCCGCCTCCCTGGCGGCCGACTCTGTCTGCCCGGCCCCCGCCGCCACCGTGGCGAGCGTGCAGATCGAGGTCGAGGCACTGCTCGGCGCGCCGCTCCCGTCGGCCGACCGCGGCCTGATGGAGCTCGGCCTCGACTCGCTCGGCGCGGTCGAGCTGCGCAACCAGCTGCACGCCGCGGTGGGCGGCCGAGCGGCGCTGCCAAGCACGCTCGTCTTCGACCACCCGAGCGCACGGCAGCTGGCGGCGTACCTGTCGGACGGCGCCACGCCCGAGCCGGCTGCGCCGCTGCACCGCGCCCCGGCTGCGCACGAGCGAGGCCGAGTCGCCGTGCTCGTCACGGGCGCGAGCGCGGTGCTGCCCTCTGGCGCCGCGGGCGCGGAGGCGGTGTGGCGGGTCGCCATGAGCGCGGCGGACCTGATCTCGGAGGTGCCCGCCGAGCGGTGGCCGCTCGGCCCTCGGCCCGACTCGGCAGCCGGCGACGCGGTGTCGAGCCGCGTCCGGCACGGCGGCTTTGCGCGCGGCGTCGAGCTCTTCGACGGCGCCTTCTTCGGCGTCTCGCCCGCCGAGGCGGCGGCGATGGACCCGCAGCAGCGGCTGCTGCTCGAGCGCGGGTACGAGGCGCTGCACGGCGCGTGCGAGCGGCGCGAGGGGCTGGCGGGCAGCCTGACGGGCGTCTTCGTTGGCATCGCGTCGACGGACTTCGCCGCCGCGCTCGCCTCGCAGAGCGTGGGCGGCGTCTACGCGGCGACGGGAGGGGCGCACTCGGTCGCCTCGGGCCGCCTGTCCTTCGCGCTCGGGCTGCACGGCCCGTGCGCGGCGTACGACACGGCGTGCTCGTCGGCGCTGGTGGCGGGCCACGCGGCGCTCCGGTCGCTGCAGCTGGGCGAGAGCTCCGCCGCGCTGGTGTCGGCTGTCAACGTGATGCTGTCGCCGCGGGTCGGGCTCACGTTTGCCGTGGCGGGCATGACGTCCGTGCTCGGCCGCAGCCACACGCTCGACAGGCGCGCCGACGGGTACGCGCGGGCGGAGGCGTGCACCGCGGCGGCGCTGCGTCCGGCCGGGTCGCAGCCGGGCGGGCCGCACGAGCCGGTCGCGACGCTGAGCGGCAGCTGCGTGCGGCAAGACGGGAGGAGCGCCAGCCTGACGGCGCCGAACGGCTTGGCCCAGCAGTCGCTGATCGGAGGCTCGCTCGAGGACGCGGGGCTGGGCGAGGGCGAGCTCGTGAGCGCCGAGCTGCACGGCACGGGCACGGCGCTGGGCGACCCGATCGAGGTGCGCGCGCTCGACGCGGCGGCGGTGGGGCCGGGCGCCGCCGCCGCCACGCTGGCGCTGTCTGGCAGCAAGGCCTGCGCCGGCCACGCCGAGCCATCTGCGGGCCTGGTGGGGCTGCTGTCGCTGGCGGTGGCATCGCTGCGCCACGGCGCATCGTCGCCTAGCGCGCAGCTGCGCGTCCTCAACCCCCACCTCGCGGAGACGGTGACTGGCGGCCCTTGCGCGGCCTTGGCGGCTTGCGCCCGGGCGCCGAGGACGGGCGGCTCGTCTGCCGCCTCGTCGGGCGCGGTGAGCTCGTTCGGCTACAGCGGCACCATCGCCCACACGCTACTCCAGACCATCGCCCATACGGCCAGCGTGGGCGGCCTGCGCGCGCCGGCCACCTTCCGCCGCCGGCGCTTTGCCTGGGGCGAGGCGGCGCACCCCTTGCGGCAGCACCGCTGGCCAGCCGCCGACGCGGCGACGCTGAGCTTCCGCTCGCCTGCGGACGGGGTGCTGGCCGCGCTGGTCGCAGACCACCGGGTCCGCGGCCGCGTCGTCTTCCCCGCGGCCGCTCACCTCGAGATGGCGCGCGCTGTGTGCTGCGGGAACGCGGCCGGCGGCGCCTCGTCCACGCGCGCCACGCTCCGGCAAGGCATCTTTGTGCAGCCCTTGCCACTCGACGAGCCGCTCGGGCTGTGGGTGGGCTGCGCCGTGGTGGAGGGCGCGATGGCGCGGGTCGAGACGCGCAGCTGGCGCGAGGCGGACCAGCGCGAGCAGGCGGGGGCGCCGCACGAGACGGCCCTGCACATGAGCGCAGACGTCGGTGCGGCAGGACGGCAGCGCTCGCCGGCGGCGGCGCGTCTGCGGACGCGTCTGGCGGCGGCGTTGTGCCCCGCTGCTGCGTACGCGTCGCTCCGCTCCTCCGGGCTCGAGTACGGCCGCTCTTTCCGAGTGCTCGAGGCGGCGTGGGCTGGGGCGGCGGCGGCGTCAGCCCTGCTTCGCCGCCGCTGGTACCGCGATGGCACGCTCGTGCATCCGGCTGACCTCGACGGCGCGCTGCAGCTCTCTGCTCTCCTCACCGCGCAGCCGGCTCGCGGCGGGACAGCCTTGCCATTCGCGGTGGAGGAGGCGGGCCTCGGCGGCCAAGCGGCGAGCTTGCTTCTGGCGGTGGCGTCCGCCTCCGGGCCCGACACCGCCGCCGTGTGGCTCTGCCATCGCGGTGGCGCGAGCGAGGGCGCGGACAGCGCTGGCGGCGGCCTCGCTGGCGGCGGCTGCCTGGCTCGGCTGGTGGGGCTCCGCAGCCGGCAGCTCGTCGACGGCGCTGGAGCGGGCGAGGCGCAAGGGCACCTGTACCAGACGGCGTGGCGGCGGCTCAGCCTCGGCCCCTCGCCCGGCCAGCCGAGCGCCGCGCTGCTTGCGGTGCGGCCGGCGACCCGAGATGCAGCGGCAGCGGCATCGCCGCCTCCGGTCGGTGGCGCTGCGCGCCTGCTCGGCCAGTTCAGCGCAGGCGGGATGCTGCACGTCGACAGCTTGGCGGCGCTCGAGGCTGGCTTGCGGCACGTGGTTGCTCTCGCGGCGGCGGCTGCGCCAGCTGGCCTGCGGCTCCTCACCCTCGGCGCCCAGCAGGCGTCGCCACGCGGCGCGATGCGCATCACGGACGCGGGGCTGTGGGGCCTGTCGCGTGCCGCGCGGCAAGAGTCGATGGGCAGCAGCTTGGCGTGCACAGACTGGTCGCTCGAGTCGCACGACGGCGGCGGCACTGTGGGCGTGCTCGCGGCTCTCGAGGCGCTTGCCGCGGCAGGCGAGCTCGAGACGGCGGTGTGCACGGATGGCCGCGACGTCCTCGCGCCTCGCCTCGCCCGCGCCTCCGACTCGACATCGCGGCGGCCAGCCTGGCTGCGCCTCGGTGCACGCGGCGCGCTGAGCGCGCTCGTGGTCGAGCCACAGCCGCCGTTCCGCCTGCCCCCCTCGCGGGGCGAGACCGAGCTCAGCGTGCGCGCCGTCGGCCTCAACTTCAGAGACGTGCTCAACGTGCTCGGAGAGTACCCGGGCGACCCCGGGCCTCCTGGCAGCGACTGCTCCGGCGTCGCGGCGGGCGCTGGTGCCACCGGCGCTCGGCTGGGCCTGGCCACTGGCGCGCTCGCGTCGCTGGCGCGGGCTGACTCGCGGCTCGTAGTGCCCAAGCCGGCGGCACTCACCTTCGAGCAAGCCAGCAGCCTGCCCACCGCGTGGATGACGAGCCACGTCGCCCTCTCTGACTCCACGCCGTCCGCGCGGAAGCGATGCCTGTTGCACGCCGGCGCGGGCGGTGTGGGGCTTGCGGCGACCGTCTACGCGCGCTGGCTGCGGCTGCGGATCAGCGTGACGGCCGGCGCGCGAGCGAAGCACCGCTTCCTACGCCAGACCGGCGCTCTCGAGCAGTGGAGCTCGCGCAGCGGCGGCGCCTTTGCGTGGGGCGGCGCCTCGCAGCTGCGCGGGGCGCGGCTGGACGTGGTGCTGAGCAGTCTGTCGCGCGACTTCACGGCCTGCTCGTGGGCACTGCTCTGCGAGTCGGGCCACTTTGAGGAGATCGGCAAGCGCGGCGTGTGGAGTCGCGGCCGTGCGGCGGGAGCGGTGCCCCACGCACGATTCCACGCGATCGCCCTCGACAGCCTGGCCGAGCGCGAGGCGCCGCGGGCACGCCTCACGCTGCTCGTGCTCCGGTCGCGTGCGACCGCGCGGGTGGCCGTCGGCCTGCCACGCGTCAGCTTCTGGCTGGAGCAGGCTGTGGCGGCGGCGTTCCGCTGGCTGCAGAGCGGGCGGAGCATCGGCAAGGTCGTCGTGCGGCTTCGCGCTCCTCCCTCGACGCCAGCAGCGCAAGCGTCGCACCTCCTGAGCGGCGGCACGGGTGCGCTCGGCCAAGCCACGGCGGGCTGGCTTGCACAGCGCGGCGCGACGCGGCTGATATTCGCGTCGCGCGGCGGCGGCTCGGTCAGCAGCGGCCCGGCCGGGCTGCCTTCGGGGAGCGCTGCGCTCTTTGTGCGGTGCGATGTGGCGCAGCCCCGGGAGGTGGAGCGCGCCCTCGCGCTGGCTGCGAACCCGCCGGCGGCGCCGTTGCGGGGCGTGTGGCACGCGGCGGGCGTGCTCGCCGACGGGCTCCTGGCGCAGCAGGGCGCGAGCGGGCTGCGTCGCGTCAGCGCGAGCAAGTCGCACGGCGCAGCGCTCCTACACCGCGCCGGCTCCGCCTTGCCGCTGCAGGCGTCGGTCCTCTTCTCGTCGATAGCGGCGCTCTTTGGCGGCGCCGGCCAGGCCAACTACAGCGCGGCGAGCAGCGGCCTCGACGCGCTCGCGCGGGGCGTGCACGCGCGTGGCCGGGCGGCCCTGAGCGTGCAGTGGGGCCCTTGGGCATCCTCGGGCATGGCGGCGGCCGACAACGTGCGCACGAGGCTGCAGGCGTCGGGGATCGGGCTGCTCGGCATCGCGGAGGGCGGCCCCGCGCTCGCTGCGGCGCTGTCGCGCGACGCGCCGCCGGTGCTGGCGGCGGTGGCTGTGCGGTGGGACCGCTTCCTGGCCGGGCGCGCGACGCCGGCCTTGCTGAGCGCGTTCGGCCGCCCAGGAGGCGCCGGGGGGAAGGCATCGAGGCGAGCAGAGGCGGCGGGGGCGGTCGCGGCGGCAACGCGCAGCCTGAGCGTCACCGAGGTGCTTGAGCTGGTGCACCGCACGGCGGGTACCGCCATCGATGCGGACACGCCTCTGCTCGAGGCCGGCGTCGACTCGCTCGGCGCGGTCGAGCTGCGCAACCAGCTGCACGCCGCGGTGGGCGGCCGAGCGGCGCTGCCAAGCACGCTCGTCTTCGACTACCCGAGCGCACGGCAGCTGGCGGCGTACCTGTCGGACGGCGCCACGCCCGAGCCGGCTGCGCCGCTGCACCGCGCCCCGGCTGCGCACGAGCGAGGCCGAGTCGCCGTGCTCGTCACGGGCGCGAGCGCGGTGCTGCCCTCTGGCGCCGCGGGCGCGGAGGCGGTGTGGCGGGTCGCCATGAGCGCGGCGGACCTGATCTCGGAGGTGCCCGCCGAGCGGTGGCCGCTCGGCCCTCGGCCCGACTCGGCAGCCGGCGACGCGGTGTCGAGCCGCGTCCGGCACGGCGGCTTTGCGCGCGGCGTCGAGCTCTTCGACGGCGCCTTCTTCGGCGTCTCGCCCGCCGAGGCGGTGGCGATGGACCCGCAGCAGCGGCTGCTGCTCGAGCGCGGGTACGAGGCGCTGCACGGCGCGGGCGAGCGGCGCGAGGGGCTGGCGGGCAGCCTGACGGGCGTCTTCGTCGGCATCGCGTCGACGGACTTCGCCGCCGCGCTCGCCTCGCAGAGCGTGGGCGGCGTCTACGCGGCGACGGGAGGGGCGCACTCGGTCGCCTCGGGCCGCCTGTCCTTCGCGCTCGGGCTGCACGGCCCGTGCGCGGCGTACGACACGGCGTGCTCGTCGGCGCTGGTGGCGGGCCACGCGGCGCTCCGGTCGCTGCAGCTGGGCGAGAGCTCCGCCGCGCTGGTGTCGGCTGTCAACGTGATGCTGTCGCCGCGGGTCGGGCTCACGTTTGCCGTGGCGGGCATGACGTCCGTGCTCGGCCGCAGCCACACGCTCGACAGGCGCGCCGACGGGTACGCGCGGGCGGAGGCGTGCACCGCAGCGGCGCTGCGTCCGGCCGGGTCGCAGCCGGGCGGGCCGCACGAGCCGGTCGCGACGCTGAGCGGCAGCTGCGTGCGGCAAGACGGGAGGAGCGCCAGCCTGACGGCGCCGAACGGCCTGGCCCAGCAGTCGCTGATCGGAGGCTCGCTCGAGGACGCGGGGCTGGGCGAGGGCGAGCTCGTGAGCGCCGAGCTGCACGGCACGGGCACGGCGCTGGGCGACCCGATCGAGGTGCGCGCACTCGACGCGGCGGCGGTGGGGCCGGGCGCCGCCGCCGCCACGCTGGCGCTGTCTGGCAGCAAGGCCTGCGCCGGCCACGCCGAGCCATCTGCGGGCCTGGTGGGGCTGCTGTCGCTGGCGGTGGCATCGCTGCGCCACGGCGCATCATCGCCGAGCGCGCAGCTGCGCGTCCTCAACCCCCACCTCGCGGAGACGGTGACTGGCGGCCCTTGCGCGGCCTTGGCGGCTTGCGCCCGGGCTCCGAGGACGGGCGGCTCGTCTGCCGCCTCGTCGGGCGCGGTGAGCTCGTTCGGCTACAGCGGCACCATCGCGCACTCGACGTTGGAGGTGCTACGTCGTTCGCATGAGCACCGCTGGATCGACTACCCTTCACCGCCAGCGTTCCGCCGCCACCGTTTCGGATACCGCGTGCTGACGCTGCGCCGCCTGTCTGCGGTGCAAGTGTCAGCTCCACAGGCAGATGCGGCGGTGCTAGCGGCGGCGGCAACGCGCAGCCTGAGCGTCGCCGAGGTGCTTGAGCTGGTGCACCGCACGGCGGGTACCGCCATCGATGCGGACACGCCTCTGCTCGAGGCCGGCGTCGACTCGCTCGGCGCGGTCGAGCTGCGCAACCAGCTGCACGCCGCGGTGGGCGGCCGAGCGGCGCTGCCAAGCACGCTCGTCTTCGACCACCCGAGCGCACGGCAGCTGGCGGCGTACCTGTCGGACGGCGCCACGCCCGAGCCGGCTGCGCCGCTGCACCGCGCCCCGGCTGCGCACGAGCGAGGCCGAGTCGCCGTGCTCGTCACGGGCGCGAGCGCGGTGCTGCCCTCTGGCGCCGCGGGCGCGGAGGCGGTGTGGCGGGTCGCCATGAGCGCGGCGGACCTGATCTCGGAGGTGCCCGCCGAGCGGTGGCCGCTCGGCCCTCGGCCCGACTCGGCAGCCGGCGACGCGGTGTCGAGCCGCGTCCGGCACGGCGGCTTTGCGCGCGGCGTCGAGCTCTTCGACGGCGCCTTCTTCGGCGTCTCGCCCGCCGAGGCGGCGGCGATGGACCCGCAGCAGCGGCTGCTGCTCGAGCGCGGGTACGAGGCGCTGCACGGCGCGGGCGAGCGGCGCGAGGGGCTGGCGGGCAGCCTGACGGGCGTCTTCGTCGGCATCGCGTCGACGGACTTCGCCGCCGCGCTCGCCTCGCAGAGCGTGGGCGGCGTCTACGCGGCGACGGGAGGGGCGCACTCGGTCGCCTCGGGCCGCCTGTCCTTTGCGCTCGGGCTGCACGGCCCGTGCGCGGCGTACGACACGGCGTGCTCGTCGGCGCTGGTGGCGGGCCACGCGGCGCTCCGGTCGCTGCAGCTGGGCGAGAGCTCCGCCGCGCTGGTGTCGGCTGTCAACGTGATGCTGTCGCCGCGGGTCGGGCTCACGTTTGCCGTGGCGGGCATGACGTCCGTGCTCGGCCGCAGCCACACGCTCGACAGGCGCGCCGACGGGTACGCGCGGGCGGAGGCGTGCACCGCGGCGGCGCTGCGTCCGGCCGGGTCGCAGCCGGGCGGGCCGCACGAGCCGGTCGCGACGCTGAGCGGCAGCTGCGTGCGGCAAGACGGGAGGAGCGCCAGCCTGACGGCGCCGAACGGCTTGGCCCAGCAGTCGCTGATCGGAGGCTCGCTCGAGGACGCGGGGCTGGGCGAGGGCGAGCTCGTGAGCGCCGAGCTGCACGGCACGGGCACGGCGCTGGGCGACCCGATCGAGGTGCGCGCGCTCGACGCGGCGGCGGTGGGGCCGGGCGCCGCCGCCGCCACGCTGGCGCTGTCTGGCAGCAAGGCCTGCGCCGGCCACGCCGAGCCATCTGCGGGCCTGGTGGGGCTGCTGTCGCTGGCGGTGGCATCGCTGCGCCACGGCGCATCGTCGCCAAGCGCGCAGCTGCGCGTCCTCAACCCCCACCTCGCGGAGACGGTGACTGGCGGCCCTTGCGCGGCCTTGGCGGCTTGCGCCCGGGCGCCGAGGACGGGCGGCTCGTCTGCCGCCTCGTCGGGCGCGGTGAGCTCGTTCGGCTACAGCGGCACCATCGCCCACACCGTCGTCGAGCCCGCTGCGCGACCACAGTGGCCGACGCCCGACGCGCTCCCTGCTCAAGTGCGCTACCGCAGGGCCTGGCACGGCTTGGGCCCTCGCCTTGGAATGCAGTCGACACCTCTCGCCGCTGCTAGCGAGCAGTCTGCGCCGAACCTGGCGGCGGTGGAGTCTCTCGTGCAGTACGTCGTCGGCCACTCCATCTCTCCCGACGCGCCGCTCGTAGAGGCTGGGCTCGACTCGCTCGGTGCAGTCCAGCTGCGAGCGGAGCTGCAGGAGGTTGTGGGAGGGGCGCCGTTGCCGGCCACGATCGTCTTCGACTTCCCGACCACGCGAGCGCTGGCGTCGAGGATCTCTAGCGACCGCCCAACACGCGCTTCGCTCACGGAGACTCCATTGAGGCCCAATTTCGGAGAGAGGAGTGAGGCCGTCGTGTGCGGCTGGGGGTGCTCCCTCCCGTGCGGCGCCACGGTGATCTCTGCTGCGCTCCGCATGGCCTTGCTCGGCCACGACTGCGTCGGCTGGGTGCCGGCGGAGAGATGGTTCACAGCGGAGGACGCGTCGCTCTCGCCCGCGGTGAACCAGCGCGTCCGCCACGGCGGCTTCATGTTTGGGGTGGATGGCTTCGACCACACCTTTTTCGCCGTGTCGCGAGCGGAGGCAGCCGCAATGGACCCGCAGCAGCGGCTGCTGCTCGAGACGGGCTACACTGCTCTCGCCAGCGCGGGTCTGGAGCGCTCGGCCCTGCAGAAGGGCGTCACTGGGGTCAGCGTGGGCATCCAGGCGATCGACTTCGCGCTGCTGGAGGCGGCGCGCGGGTCGACGTCGTCCGTGTACGCGGCGACGGGCTTCCAGCACGCGGTCGCCTCGGGCCGCATCTCCTACGCGCTCGGGCTGCAAGGCCCGTGCGCCTCGTTTGACACCGCGTGCTCGTCTTCGCTGGTCGCGACGCACGTGTCGAAGCAGGCCCTGGAGATGCACGAGTGTAGCGCCGCCCTGGCCGAGGGGGTGAACGTGATGCTCTCGCCGGCAGCTAGCTGGAGCTGCGCCGTGGCGGGGATGACTTCGCCGCGCGGCCGCTGCTTCTCGTTCGACAGCCGCGCAGACGGGTACGCACGAGCAGAGGCCTGCTGCGCCGTCTCGCTGCGGGCCATCGAGCTCGTCCACACGTGCCGCGCGCTCTTCGAAGGCAGCGCCGTGCGGCAGGACGGACGCAGCGCCAGCCTCACGGCGCCGAACGGTCAGGCGCAGCGCACGCTGCTGGCGGTGGCGTTTGCGAGCGGCGGCTGGGGGCGTGAGGTGCACTGCAGTGTGGAGGCGCACGGGACAGGCACCCGGCTCGGCGACCCGATCGAGGCGAAGGCTCTGTCGCAAGGGCCCACTCTTGCCAACCCGAATGCTGCGCCGTGCTCGATCGGGAGCTTCAAGGCCGTCATCGGCCACACTGAGCCCGCCGCAGGGATGGTGGGTCTGCTGGTGAAGGTCGAGGCGCTGGTGGCGAGGCTGTTCGTCCCGAACGCTCAGCTGCGCGTCGCCAACCGCCACGTCGCAGCCGTGCTGCCTGGTCGCACGTGGGCGCTGCCGACGCAGGCAGGGCCGCAGCCTCGCAGCCAGCGCGCCGCGGGCGTGAGCTCGTTCGGGTACAGCGGCACCATCGCCCACACGCTGATCAAGATGCCGGCTCGCACAGCCAGCGTGGGCGGCCTGCGCGCGCCGGCCGCGTTCCGCCGCCGGCGCTTTGCCTGGGGCGAGGCGGCGCACCCCTTGCGGCAGCACCGCTGGCCAGCCGCCGACGCGGCGACGCTGAGCTTCCGCTCGCCTGCGGACGGGGTGCTGGCCGCGCTGGTCGCAGACCACCGGGTCCGCGGCCGCGTCGTCTTCCCCGCGGCCGCTCACCTCGAGATGGCGCGCGCTGTGTGCTGCGGGGACGCGGCCGGCGGCGCCTCGTCCACGCGCGCCACGCTCCGGCAAGGCGTCTTTGTGCAGCCCTTGCCACTCGACGAGCCGCTCGGGCTGTGGGTGGGCTGCGCCGTGGCGGGCGGCGCGATGGCGCGGGTCGAGACGCGCAGCTGGCGCGAGGCGGACCAGCGCGAGCAGGCGGGGGCGCCGCACGAGACGGCTCTGCACATGAGCGCAGACGTCGGTGCGGCAGGACGGCAGCGCTCGCCGGCGGCGGCGCGTCTGCGGACGCGTCTGGCGGCGGCGTTGTGCCCCGCTGCTGCGTACGCGTCGCTCCGCTCCTCCGGGCTCGAGTACGGCCGCTCTTTCCGAGTGCTCGAGGCGGCGTGGGCTGGGGCGGCGGCGGCGTCAGCCCTGCTTCACCGCCGCTGGTTCGGCGAAGGCACGCTCGTGCATCCGGCTGACCTCGACGGCGCGCTGCAGCTCTCTGCTCTCCTCACCGCGCAGCCGGCTCGCGGCGGGACAGCCTTGCCATTCGCGGTGGAGGAGGCGGGCCTCGGCGGCCAAGCGGCGAGCTTGCTTCTGGCGGTGGCGTCCGCCTCCGGGCCCGACACCGCCGCCGTGTGGCTCTGCCATCGCGGTGGCGCGAGCGAGGGCGCGGACAGCGCTGGCGGCGGCCTCGCTGGCGGCGGCTGCCTGGCTCGGCTGGTGGGGCTCCGCAGCCGGCAGCTCGTCGACGGCGCTGGAGCGGGCGAGGCGCAAGGGCACCTGTACCAGACGGCGTGGCGGCGGCTCAGCCTCGGCCCCTCGCCCGGCCAGCCGAGCGCCGCGCTGCTTGCGGTGCGGCCGGCGACCCGAGATGCAGCGGCAGCGGCATCGCCGCCTCCGGTCGGTGGCGCTGCGCGCCTGCTCGGCCAGTTCAGCGCGGGCGGGACGCTGCACGTCGACAGCTTGGCGGCGCTCGAGGCTGGCTTGCGGCACGTGGTCGCTCTCGCGGCGGCGGCTGCGCCAGCTGGCCTGCGGCTCCTCACCCTCGGCGCCCAGCAGGCGTCGCCACGCGGCGCGATGCGCATCACGGACGCGGGGCTGTGGGGCCTGTCGCGTGCCGCGCGGCAAGAGTCGATGGGCAGCAGCTTGGCGTGCACAGACTGGTCGCTCGAGTCGCACGACGGCGGCGGCACTGTGGGCGTGCTCGCGGCTCTCGAGGCGCTTGCCACGGCAGGCGAGCTCGAGACGGCGGTGTGCACGGATGGCCGCGACGTCCTCGCGCCTCGCCTCGCCCGCGCATCGGTCGTGCCGCCACACCTGTCAGCGTCAGCACCGTCGTCGCACCTTCTGAGCGGCGGCACGGGTGCGCTCGGCCAAGCCACGGCGGGCTGGCTTGCGCAGCGCGGCGCGACGCGGCTGATATTCGCGTCGCGCGGCGGCGGCTCGGTCAGCAGCGGCCCGGCCGGGCTGCCTTCAGGGAGCGCTGCGCTCTTTGTGCGGTGCGATGTGGCGCAGCCCCGGGAGGTGGAGCGCGCCCTCGCGCTGGCTGCGAACCCGCCGGCGGCGCCGTTGCGGGGCGTGTGGCACGCGGCGGGCGTGCTCGCCGACGGGCTCCTGGCGCAGCAGGGCGCGAGCGGGTTGCGTCGCGTCAGCGCGAGCAAGTCGCACGGCGCAGCGCTCCTACACCGCGCCGGCTCCGCCTTGCCGCTGCAGGCGTCGGTCCTCTTCTCGTCGATAGCGGCGCTCTTTGGCGGCGCCGGCCAGGCCAACTACAGCGCGGCGAGCAGCGGCCTCGACGCGCTCGCGCGGGGCGTGCACGCGCGTGGCCGGGCGGCCCTGAGCGTGCAGTGGGGCCCTTGGGCATCCTCGGGCATGGCGGCCGCCGACAACGTGCGCACGAGGCTGCAGGCGTCGGGGATCGGGCTGCTCGGCATCGCGGAGGGCGGCCCCGCGCTCGCTGCGGCGCTGTCGCGCGACGCGCCGCCGGTGCTGGCGGCGGTGGCTGTGCGGTGGGACCGCTTCCTGGCCGGGCGCGCGACGCCGGCCTTGCTGAGCGCGTTCGGCCGCCCAGGAGGCGCCGGGGGGAAGGCATCGAGGCGAGCAGAGGCGACGGGGGCGGTCGCGGCGGCGACGCGCAGCGTGAGCGTCGCCGAGGTGCTTGAGCTGGTGCACCGCACGGCCGGCGCCACCGCCGACGCGGACACGCCTCTGCTCGAGGCCGGCGTCGACTCGCTCGGCGCGGTCGAGCTGCGCAACCAGCTGCACGCCGCGGTGGGCGGCCGAGCGGCGCTGCCAAGCACGCTCGTCTTCGACCACCCGAGCGCACGGCAGCTGGCGGCGTACCTGTCGGACGGCGCCACGCCCGAGCCGGCTGCGCCGCTGCACCGCGCCCCGGCTGCGCACGAGCGAGGCCGAGTCGCCGTGCTCGTCACGGGCGCGAGCGCGGTGCTGCCCTCTGGCGCCGCGGGCGCGGAGGCGGTGTGGCGGGTCGCCATGAGCGCGGCGGACCTGATCTCGGAGGTGCCCGCCGAGCGGTGGCCGCTCGGCCCTCGGCCCGACTCGGCAGCCGGCGACGCGGTGTCGAGCCGCGTCCGGCACGGCGGCTTTGCGCGCGGCGTCGAGCTCTTCGACGGCGCCTTCTTCGGCGTCTCGCCCGCCGAGGCGGTGGCGATGGACCCGCAGCAGCGGCTGCTGCTCGAGCGCGGGTACGAGGCGCTGCACGGCGCGGGCGAGCGGCGCGAGGGGCTGGCGGGCAGCCTGACGGGCGTCTTCGTCGGCATCGCGTCGACGGACTTCGCCGCCGCGCTCGCCTCGCAGAGCGTGGGCGGCGTCTACGCGGCGACGGGAGGGGCGCACTCGGTCGCCTCGGGCCGCCTGTCTTTCGCGCTCGGGCTGCACGGCCCGTGCGCGGCGTACGACACGGCGTGCTCGTCGGCGCTGGTGGCGGGCCACGCGGCGCTCCGGTCGCTGCAGCTGGGCGAGAGCTCCGCCGCGCTGGTGTCGGCTGTCAACGTGATGCTGTCGCCGCGGGTCGGGCTCACGTTTGCCGTGGCGGGCATGACGTCCGTGCTCGGCCGCAGCCACACGCTCGACAGGCGCGCCGACGGGTACGCGCGGGCGGAGGCGTGCACCGCGGCGGCGCTGCGTCCGGCCGGGTCGCAGCCGGGCGGGCCGCACGAGCCGGTCGCGACGCTGAGCGGCAGCTGCGTGCGGCAAGACGGGAGGAGCGCCAGCCTGACGGCGCCGAACGGCCTGGCCCAGCAGTCGCTGATCGGAGGCTCGCTCGAGGACGCGGGGCTGGGCGAGGGCGAGCTCGTGAGCGCCGAGCTGCACGGCACGGGCACGGCGCTGGGCGACCCGATCGAGGTGCGCGCGCTCGACGCGGCGGCGGTGGGGCCGGGCGCCGCCGCCGCCACGCTGGCGCTGTCTGGCAGCAAGGCCTGCGCCGGCCACGCCGAGCCATCTGCGGGCCTGGTGGGGCTGCTGTCGCTGGCGGTGGCATCGCTGCGCCACGGCGCATCGTCGCCAAGCGCGCAGCTGCGCGTCCTCAACCCCCACCTCGCGGAGACGGTGACTGGCGGCCCTTGCGCGGCCTTGGCGGCTTGCGCCCGGGCGCCGAGGACGGGCGGCTCGTCTGCCGCCTCGTCGGGCGCGGTGAGCTCGTTTGGCTACAGCGGCACCATCGCCCACACGCTACTCCAGACCATCGCCCATACGGCCAGCGTGGGCGGCCTGCGCGCGCCGGCCGCGTTCCGCCGCCGGCGCTTTGCCTGGGGCGAGGCGGCGCACCCCTTGCGGCAGCACCGCTGGCCAGCCGCCGACGCGGCGACGCTGAGCTTCCGCTCGCCTGCGGACGGGGTGCTGGCCGCGCTGGTCGCAGACCACCGGGTCCGCGGCCGCGTCGTCTTCCCCGCGGCCGCTCACCTCGAGATGGCGCGCGCTGTGTGCTGCGGGGACGCGGCCGGCGGCGCCTCGTCCACGCGCGCCACGCTCCGGCAAGGCATCTTTGTGCAGCCCTTGCCACTCGACGAGCCGCTCGGGCTGTGGGTGGGCTGCGCCGTGGTGGAGGGCGCGATGGCGCGGGTCGAGACGCGCAGCTGGCGCGAGGCGGACCAGCGCGAGCAGGCGGGGGCGCCGCACGAGACGGCCCTGCACATGAGCGCAGACGTCGGTGCGGCAGGACGGCAGCGCTCGCCGGCGGCGGCGCGTCTGCGGACGCGTCTGGCGGCGGCGTTGTGCCCCGCTGCTGCGTACGCGTCGCTCCGCTCCTCCGGGCTCGAGTACGGCCGCTCTTTCCGAGTGCTCGAGGCGGCGTGGGCTGGGGCGGCGGCGGCGTCAGCCCTGCTTCGCCGCCGCTGGTACCGCGATGGCACGCTCGTGCATCCGGCTGACCTCGACGGCGCGCTGCAGCTCTCTGCTCTCCTCACCGCGCAGCCGGCTCGCGGCGGGACAGCCTTGCCATTCGCGGTGGAGGAGGCGGGCCTCGGCGGCCAAGCGGCGAGCTTGCTTCTGGCGGTGGCGTCCGCCTCCGGGCCCGACACCGCCGCCGTGTGGCTCTGCCATCGCGGTGGCGCGAGCGAGGGCGCGGACAGCGCTGGCGGCGGCCTCGCTGGCGGCGGCTGCCTGGCTCGGCTGGTGGGGCTCCGCAGCCGGCAGCTCGTCGACGGCGCTGGAGCGGGCGAGGCGCAAGGGCACCTCTACCAGACGGCGTGGCGGCGGCTCAGCCTCGGCCCCTCGCCCGGCCAGCCGAGCGCCGCGCTGCTCGCGGTGCGGCCGGCGACCCGAGATGCAGCGGCAGCGGCATCGCCGCCTCCGGTCGGTGGCGCTGCGCGCCTGCTCGGCCAGTTCAGCGCGGGCGGGACGCTGCACGTCGACAGCTTGGCGGCGCTCGAGGCTGGCTTGCGGCACGTGGTCGCTCTCGCGGCGGCGGCTGCGCCAGCTGGCCTGCGGCTCCTCACCCTCGGCGCCCAGCAGGCGTCGCCACGCGGCGCGATGCGCATCACGGACGCGGGGCTGTGGGGCCTGTCGCGTGCCGCGCGGCAAGAGTCGATGGGCAGCAGCTTGGCGTGCACAGACTGGTCGCTCGAGTCGCACGACGGCGGCGGCACTGTGGGCGTGCTCGCGGCTCTCGAGGCGCTTGCCACGGCAGGCGAGCTCGAGACGGCGGTGTGCACGGATGGCCGCGACGTCCTCGCGCCTCGCCTCGCCCGCGCATCGGTCGTGCCGCCACACCTGTCAGCGTCAGCACCGTCGTCGCACCTTCTGAGCGGCGGCACGGGTGCGCTCGGCCAAGCCACGGCGGGCTGGCTTGCGCAGCGCGGCGCGACGCGGCTGATCTTTGCGTCGCGCGGCGGCGGCTCGGTCAGCAGCGGCCCGGCCGGGCTGCCTTCAGGGAGCGCTGCGCTCTTTGTGCGGTGCGATGTGGCGCAGCCCCGGGAGGTGGAGCGCGCCCTCGCGCTGGCTGCGAACCCGCCGGCGGCGCCGTTGCGGGGCGTGTGGCACGCGGCGGGCGTGCTCGCCGACGGGCTCCTGGCGCAGCAGGGCGCGAGCGGGCTGCGTCGCGTCAGCGCGAGCAAGTCGCACGGCGCGGCGCTCCTACACCGCGCCGGCTCCGCCTTGCCGCTGCAGGCGTCGGTCCTCTTCTCGTCGATAGCGGCGCTCTTTGGCGGCGCCGGCCAGGCCAACTACAGCGCGGCGAGCAGCGGCCTCGACGCGCTCGCGCGGGGCGTGCACGCGCGTGGCCGGGCGGCCCTGAGCGTGCAGTGGGGCCCTTGGGCATCCTCGGGCATGGCGGCGGCCGACAACGTGCGCACGAGGCTGCAGGCGTCGGGGATCGGGCTGCTCGGCATCGCGGAGGGCGGCCCCGCGCTCGCTGCGGCGCTGTCGCGCGACGCGCCGCCGGTGCTGGCGGCGGTGGCTGTGCGGTGGGACCGCTTCCTGGCCGGGCGCGCGACGCCGGCCTTGCTGAGCGCGTTCGGCCGCCCAGGAGGCGCCGGGGGGAAGGCATCGAGGCGAGCAGAGGCGACGGGGGCGGTCGCGGCGGCGACGCGCAGCCTGAGCGTCGCCGAGGTGCTTGAGCTGGTGCACCGCACGGCCGGCGCCACCGCCGACGCGGACACGCCTCTGCTCGAGGCCGGCGTCGACTCGCTCGGCGCGGTCGAGCTGCGCAACCAGCTGCACGCCGCGGTGGGCGGCCGAGCGGCGCTGCCAAGCACGCTCGTCTTCGACCACCCGAGCGCACGGCAGCTGGCGGCGTACCTGTCGGACGGCGCCACGCCCGAGCCGGCTGCGCCGCTGCACCGCGCCCCGGCTGCGCACGAGCGAGGCCGAGTCGCCGTGCTCGTCACGGGCGCGAGCGCGGTGCTGCCCTCTGGCGCCGCGGGCGCGGAGGCGGTGTGGCGGGTCGCCATGAGCGCGGCGGACCTGATCTCGGAGGTGCCCGCCGAGCGGTGGCCGCTCGGCCCTCGGCCCGACTCGGCAGCCGGCGACGCGGTGTCGAGCCGCGTCCGGCACGGCGGCTTTGCGCGCGGCGTCGAGCTCTTCGACGGCGCCTTCTTCGGCGTCTCGCCCGCCGAGGCGGCGGCGATGGACCCGCAGCAGCGGCTGCTGCTCGAGCGCGGGTACGAGGCGCTGCACGGCGCGGGCGAGCGGCGCGAGGGGCTGGCGGGCAGCCTGACGGGCGTCTTCGTCGGCATCGCGTCGACGGACTTCGCCGCCGCGCTCGCCTCGCAGAGCGTGGGCGGCGTCTACGCGGCGACGGGAGGGGCGCACTCGGTCGCCTCGGGCCGCCTGTCCTTCGCGCTCGGGCTGCACGGCCCGTGCGCGGCGTACGACACGGCGTGCTCGTCGGCGCTGGTGGCGGGCCACGCGGCGCTCCGGTCGCTGCAGCTGGGCGAGAGCTCCGCCGCGCTGGTGTCGGCTGTCAACGTGATGCTGTCGCCGCGGGTCGGGCTCACGTTTGCCGTGGCGGGCATGACGTCCGTGCTCGGCCGCAGCCACACGCTCGACAGGCGCGCCGACGGGTACGCGCGGGCGGAGGCGTGCACCGCGGCGGCGCTGCGTCCGGCCGGGTCGCAGCCGGGCGGGCTGCACGAGCCGGTCGCGACGCTGAGCGGCAGCTGCGTGCGGCAAGACGGGAGGAGCGCCAGCCTGACGGCGCCGAACGGCCTGGCCCAGCAGTCGCTGATCGGAGGCTCGCTCGAGGACGCGGGGCTGGGCGAGGGCGAGCTCGTGAGCGCCGAGCTGCACGGCACGGGCACGGCGCTGGGCGACCCGATCGAGGTGCGCGCGCTCGACGCGGCGGTGGTGGGGCCGGGCGCCGCCGCCGCCACGCTGGCGCTGTCTGGCAGCAAGGCCTGCGCCGGCCACGCCGAGCCATCTGCGGGCCTGGTGGGGCTGCTGTCGCTGGCGGTGGCATCGCTGCGCCACGGCGCATCGTCGCCAAGCGCGCAGCTGCGCGTCCTCAACCCCCACCTCGCGGAGACGGTGACTGGCGGCCCTTGCGCGGCCTTGGCGGCTTGCGCCCGGGCGCCGAGGACGGGCGGCTCGTCTGCCGCCTCGTCGGGCGCGGTGAGCTCGTTCGGCTACAGCGGCACCATCGCCCACACGCTGATCAAGATGCCGGCTCGCACAGCCAGCGTGGGCGGCCTGCGCGCGCCGGCCGCGTTCCGCCGCCGGCGCTTTGCCTGGGGCGAGGCGGCGCACCCCTTGCGGCAGCACCGCTGGCCAGCCGCCGACGCGGCGACGCTGAGCTTCCGCTCGCCTGCGGACGGGGTGCTGGCCGCGCTGGTCGCAGACCACCGGGTCCGCGGCCGCGTCGTCTTCCCCGCGGCCGCTCACCTCGAGATGGCGCGCGCTGTGTGCTGCGGGGACGCGGCCGGCGGCGCCTCGTCCACGCGCGCCACGCTCCGGCAAGGCGTCTTTGTGCAGCCCTTGCCACTCGACGAGCCGCTCGGGCTGTGGGTGGGCTGCGCCGTGGCGGGCGGCGCGATGGCGCGGGTCGAGACGCGCAGCTGGCGCGAGGCGGACCAGCGCGAGCAGGCGGGGGCGCCGCACGAGACGGCCCTGCACATGAGCGCAGACGTCGGTGCGGCAGGACGGCAGCGCTCGCCGGCGGCGGCGCGTCTGCGGACGCGTCTGGCGGCGGCGTTGTGCCCCGCTGCTGCGTACGCGTCGCTCCGCTCCTCCGGGCTCGAGTACGGCCGCTCTTTCCGAGTGCTCGAGGCGGCGTGGGCTGGGGCGGCGGCGGCGTCAGCCCTGCTTCGCCGCCGCTGGTACCGCGATGGCACGCTCGTGCATCCGGCTGACCTCGACGGCGCGCTGCAGCTCTCTGCTCTCCTCACCGCGCAGCCGGCTCGCGGCGGGACAGCCTTGCCATTCGCGGTGGAGGAGGCGGGCCTCGGCGGCCAAGCGGCGAGCTTGCTTCTGGCGGTGGCGTCCGCCTCCGGGCCCGACACCGCCGCCGTGTGGCTCTGCCATCGCGGTGGCGCGAGCGAGGGCGCGGACAGCGCTGGCGGCGGCCTCGCTGGCGGCGGCTGCCTGGCTCGGCTGGTGGGGCTCCGCAGCCGGCAGCTCGTCGACGGCGCTGGAGCGGGCGAGGCGCAAGGGCACCTGTACCAGACGGCGTGGCGGCGGCTCAGCCTCGGCCCCTCGCCCGGCCAGCCGAGCGCCGCGCTGCTTGCGGTGCGGCCGGCGACCCGAGATGCAGCGGCAGCGGCATCGCCGCCTCCGGTCGGTGGCGCTTCCGGCCTGCTCGGCCAGTTCAGCGCGGGCGGGACGCTGCACGTCGACAGCTTGGCGGCGCTCGAGGCTGGCTTGCGGCACGTGGTCGCTCTCGCGGCGGCGGCTGCGCCAGCTGGCCTGCGGCTCCTCACCCTCGGCGCCCAGCAGGCGTCGCCACGCGGCGCGATGCGCATCACGGACGCGGGGCTGTGGGGCCTGTCGCGTGCCGCGCGGCAAGAGTCGATGGGCAGCAGCTTGGCGTGCACAGACTGGTCGCTCGAGTCGCAGGACGGCGGCGGCACTGTGGGCGTGCTCGCGGCTCTCGAGGCGCTCGCCACGGCAGGCGAGCTCGAGACGGCGGTGTGCACGGATGGCCGCGACGTCCTCGCGCCTCGCCTCGCCCGCGCCTCCGACTCGACATCGCGGCGGCCAGCCTGGCTGCGCCTCGGTGCACGCGGCGCGCTGAGCGCGCTCGTGGTCGAGCCACAGCCGCCGTTCCGCCTGCCCCCCTCGCGGGGCGAGACCGAGCTCAGCGTGCGCGCCGTCGGCCTCAACTTCAGAGACGTGCTCAACGTGCTCGGAGAGTACCCGGGCGACCCCGGGCCTCCTGGCAGCGACTGCTCCGGCGTCGCGGCGGGCGCTGGTGCCACCGGCGCTCGGCTGGGCCTGGCCATTGGCGCGCTCGCGTCGCTGGCGCGGGCTGACTCGCGGCTCGTAGTGCCCAAGCCGGCGGCACTCACCTTCGAGCAAGCCAGCAGCCTGCCCACCGCGTGGATGACGAGCCACGTCGCCCTCTCTGACTCCACGCCGTCCGCGCGGAAGCGATGCCTGTTGCACGCCGGCGCGGGCGGTGTGGGGCTTGCGGCGACCGTCTACGCGCGCTGGCTGCGGCTGCGGATCAGCGTGACGGCCGGCGCGCGAGCGAAGCACCGCTTCCTACGCCAGACCGGCGCTCTCGAGCAGTGGAGCTCGCGCAGCGGCGGCGCCTTTGCGTGGGGCGGCGCCTCGCAGCTGCGCGGGGCGCGGCTGGACGTGGTGCTGAGCAGTCTGTCGCGCGACTTCACGGCCTGCTCGTGGGCACTGCTCTGCGAGTCGGGCCACTTTGAGGAGATCGGCAAGCGCGGCGTGTGGAGTCGCGGCCGTGCGGCGGGAGCGGTGCCCCACGCACGATTCCACGCGATCGCCCTCGACAGCCTGGCCGAGCGCGAGGCGCCGCGGGCACGCCTCACGCTGCTCGTGCTCCGGTCGCGTGCGACCGCGCGGGTGGCCGTCGGCCTGCCACGCGTCAGCTTCTGGCTGGAGCAGGCTGTGGCGGCGGCGTTCCGCTGGCTGCAGAGCGGGCGGAGCATCGGCAAGGTCGTCGTGCGGCTTCGCGCTCCTCCCTCGACGCCAGCAGCGCAAGCGTCGCACCTTCTGAGCGGCGGCACGGGTGCGCTCGGCCAAGCCACGGCGGGCTGGCTTGCGCAGCGCGGCGCGACGCGGCTGATCTTTGCGTCGCGCGGCGGCGGCTCGGTCAGCAGCGGCCCGGCCGGGCTGCCTTCGGGGAGCGCTGCGCTCTTTGTGCGGTGCGATGTGGCGCAGCCCCGGGAGGTGGAGCGCGCCCTCTCGCTGGCTGCGGACCCGCCGGCGGCGCCGTTGCGGGGCGTGTGGCACGCGGCGGGCGTGCTCGCCGACGGGCTCCTGGCGCAGCAGGGCGCGAGCGGGCTGCGTCGCGTCAGCGCGAGCAAGTCGCACGGCGCAGCGCTCCTACACCGCGCCGGCTCCGCCTTGCCGCTGCAGGCGTCGGTCCTCTTCTCGTCGATAGCGGCGCTCTTTGGCGGCGCCGGCCAGGCCAACTACAGCGCGGCGAGCAGCGGCCTCGACGCGCTCGCGCGGGGCGTGCACGCGCGTGGCCGGGCGGCCCTGAGCGTGCAGTGGGGCCCTTGGGCATCCTCGGGCATGGCGGCCGCCGACAACGTGCGCACGAGGCTGCAGGCGTCGGGGATCGGGCTGCTCGGCATCGCGGAGGGCGGCCCCGCGCTCGCTGCGGCGCTGTCGCGCGACGCGCCGCCGGTGCTGGCGGCGGTGGCTGTGCGGTGGGACCGCTTCCTGGCCGGGCGCGCGACGCCGGCCTTGCTGAGCGCGTTCGGCCGCCCAGGAGGCGCCGGGGGGAAGGCATCGAGGCGAGCAGAGGCGGCGGGGGCGGTCGCGGCGGCGACGCGCAGCCTGAGCGTCGCCGAGGTGCTTGAGCTGGTGCACCGCACGGCCGGCGCCACCGCCGGCGCGGACACGCCTCTGCTCGAGGCCGGCGTCGACTCGCTCGGCGCGGTCGAGCTGCGCAACCAGCTGCACGCCGCGGTGGGCGGCCGAGCGGCGCTGCCAAGCACGCTCGTCTTCGACCACCCGAGCGCACGGCAGCTGGCGGCGTACCTGTCGGACGGCGCCACGCCCGAGCCGGCTGCGCCGCTGCACCGCGCCCCGGCTGCGCACGAGCGAGGCCGAGTCGCCGTGCTCGTCACGGGCGCGAGCGCGGTGCTGCCCTCTGGCGCCGCGGGCGCGGAGGCGGTGTGGCGGGTCGCCATGAGCGCGGCGGACCTGATCTCGGAGGTGCCCGCCGAGCGGTGGCCGCTCGGCCCTCGGCCCGACTCGGCAGCCGGCGACGCGGTGTCGAGCCGCGTCCGGCACGGCGGCTTTGCGCGCGGCGTCGAGCTCTTCGACGGCGCCTTCTTCGGCGTCTCGCCCGCCGAGGCGGCGGCGATGGACCCGCAGCAGCGGCTGCTGCTCGAGCGCGGGTACGAGGCGCTGCACGGCGCGGGCGAGCGGCGCGAGGGGCTGGCGGGCAGCCTGACGGGCGTCTTCGTCGGCATCGCGTCGACGGACTTCGCCGCCGCGCTCGCCTCGCAGAGCGTGGGCGGCGTCTACGCGGCGACGGGAGGGGCGCACTCGGTCGCCTCGGGCCGCCTGTCCTTCGCGCTCGGGCTGCACGGCCCGTGCGCGGCGTACGACACGGCGTGCTCGTCGGCGCTGGTGGCGGGCCACGCGGCGCTCCGGTCGCTGCAGCTGGGCGAGAGCTCCGCCGCGCTGGTGTCGGCTGTCAACGTGATGCTGTCGCCGCGGGTCGGGCTCACGTTTGCCGTGGCGGGCATGACGTCCGTGCTCGGCCGCAGCCACACGCTCGACAGGCGCGCCGACGGGTACGCGCGGGCGGAGGCGTGCACCGCGGCGGCGCTGCGTCCGGCCGGGTCGCAGCCGGGCGGGCCGCACGAGCCGGTCGCGACGCTGAGCGGCAGCTGCGTGCGGCAAGACGGGAGGAGCGCCAGCCTGACGGCGCCGAACGGCTTGGCCCAGCAGTCGCTGATCGGAGGCTCGCTCGAGGACGCGGGGCTGGGCGAGGGCGAGCTCGTGAGCGCCGAGCTGCACGGCACGGGCACGGCGCTGGGCGACCCGATCGAGGTGCGCGCGCTCGACGCGGCGGCGGTGGGGCCGGGCGCCGCCGCCGCCACGCTGGCGCTGTCTGGCAGCAAGGCCTGCGCCGGCCACGCCGAGCCATCTGCGGGCCTGGTGGGGCTGCTGTCGCTGGCGGTGGCATCGCTGCACCACGGCGCATCATCGCCGAGCGCGCAGCTGCGCGTCCTCAACCCCCACCTCACGGAGACGGTGACTGGCGGCCCTTGCGCGGCCTTGGCGGCTTGCGCCCGGGCGCCGAGGACGGGCGGCTCGTCTGCCGCCTCGTCGGGCGCGGTGAGCTCGTTCGGCTACAGCGGCACCATCGCGCACTCGACGTTGGAGGTGCTACGTCGCTTGTATGAGCACCGCTGGATCGACTACCCTTCACCGCCAGCGTTCCGCCGCCACCGTTTCGGATACCGCGTGCTGACGCTGCGCCGCCTGTCTGCGGTGCAAGTGTCAGCTCCACAGGCAGATGCGGCGGTGCTAGCGGCGGCGGCAACGCGCAGCCTGAGCGTCGCCGAGGTGCTTGAGCTGGTGCACCGCACGGCGGGTACCGCCATCGATGCGGACACGCCTCTGCTCGAGGCCGGCGTCGACTCGCTCGGCGCGGTCGAGCTGCGCAACCAGCTGCACGCCGCGGTGGGCGGCCGAGCGGCGCTGCCAAGCACGCTCGTCTTCGACTACCCGAGCGCACGGCAGCTGGCGGCGTACCTGTCGGACGGCGCCACGCCCGAGCCGGCTGCGCCGCTGCACCGCGCCCCGGCTGCGCACGAGCGAGGCCGAGTCGCCGTGCTCGTCACGGGCGCGAGCGCGGTGCTGCCCTCTGGCGCCGCGGGCGCGGAGGCGGTGTGGCGGGTCGCCATGAGCGCGGCGGACCTGATCTCGGAGGTGCCCGCCGAGCGGTGGCCGCTCGGCCCTCGGCCCGACTCGGCAGCCGGCGACGCGGTGTCGAGCCGCGTCCGGCACGGCGGCTTTGCGCGCGGCGTCGAGCTCTTCGACGGCGCCTTCTTCGGCGTCTCGCCCGCCGAGGCGGTGGCGATGGACCCGCAGCAGCGGCTGCTGCTCGAGCGCGGGTACGAGGCGCTGCACGGCGCGGGCGAGCGGCGCGAGGGGCTGGCGGGCAGCCTGACGGGCGTCTTCGTCGGCATCGCGTCGACGGACTTCGCCGCCGCGCTCGCCTCGCAGAGCGTGGGCGGCGT